CATGTAATCGTGATCCCATTTGCTTATGTGTTTACTGAAATAAGGAATGAGATAGAAACCAGGAATAACAATAAATTTTGATTTAAAATGAATGTTCTGGGAACTCTCTCAGTCAGGTCCGACTGAGAAATATATAAAAATATGGAGAAGCAGCCAGCTTATCTGCCAAGAATCAAGAACATTCCAGTGCAATGGCAAAGGCAGCATGTCATCAAGCAGGATTCAAGACAGAAAAGGTAATAACAAGGAGAAAGTATTTGTTCTTATTAAAATGTTATGTGCTAAATATGTAGTAAGGCAGGACAAATGTATTGACTATTTTTATCTGCAAGTCCTCCTTCTTGCTTGATTATAGATATCTAAAAGGCAGATTGGTTAACCAAGATGGATTCTCTTGTATTTTGTATTACTTCTGTTGAAAATAAAAAAGTCATTGCTGGGTGGTTTGTTCTGTTTTATTTTTTATTCTGATTACATTTGCCAAAATGTCACTTTTTTACCCTTGATTTTCTTTCTGCTATGATGACCAAAATGCACAAAGATTATGCAACTTGCAGAACATCACAAACAGAATCCCTGATTCTGTTTAGCACAGTATCCACTGAATCATTTTGCTTCAGTAGAGGTATAATTCATCACAATAATGCCATGGAACCAACATCCATAAATAGGTTGATACTGATATGTTTTCAATGCTTTTCTAGCTCTTCCTTGGATCTTTGAATATGTTCCAAGACTTTGTTGCTACTGCCAGATATAGATGGTATACTAAACCAAGACACAAAAACAGAATAAAACTTGGCCTCACAGAATATCACTGCTAAATTGTTTCCCCAGTTCTAAGCCAATTAGGGCATCTCTCTCCTACTATAATTGCAGTAAATCTCAACTTTAAGCATCCTGTTAAGGGCATGCTCTATTGTATTTCCATGTCCTACCCCTAAATCAATTCACTTTATGTCCATAGCTGGCTCAGCAAGTATTTCATCGCTTGGTACAAAAAAGAAACTGAGGCAATAACCACAGGCACAGAAGTCTGATATCACTTGATAAATTGAGGGATTTCAGTGGTGCCATCTCACTATTCCATAAACTAGAGAAAACTCAATCAGAGCTTCTAAAGACAGCGATGCAAGCATCATAATTTGGAAATTGATTGAAATGCTTCTGAGCTCACAGGTCTGACTCTCTCTCTGGATCAATGAACCCCAGAAGACACTGCATACATAATCCTTTCAAAGTAAATGAGGCACTAGCTCAAAAAACAGAAGTTTGTGAATTTAAAGGAACTTCTGTTTTAGCAGAGGGTTCTTGGGAGCAGAACAAGTAGAGGCATTATTAGGCATCCGTTCCCACAAATGAGAAACGTGGGGGGGGAGGAGAGAGGTTCGGTTCCAATCAGAGTCTTGGATAGGGTTGCCAACCCTCCCGGACTGGCCAGGAGTCTACCAGAATAAGCACTGATCTCCCAGTGACTATGGAAAGCAATCCAGGAGATTGATATTGTGAAAGGGTTGAAGAGCACAATTAATGACATTATATCATGCTGGGGAAAAAAATCTCCCAGAATACCTTCAGTCAGGGTTGGCAACCCTTGTCTTGGAAACAAAGGTGGTTAGCCATGTTAATCTAAAGTGAGGCAGAAGATAATCTCAAAGGTGCTACTCTGCCCTAAGGCACCACAGAGACAGGAGCTTTTGTAGGCAACAACCTATTTTGTCAGATGCTTGGAATGGACAAAGGAGGTTGTTGTCTACAAAACCTCATACCTCTCTGGACCAGTTAGTCCATAAGGTGCAACAGTGCTCTATCTTCTTCAGGGCCTTGGAAAGCAAATCTTACACCCTCTACAAATCAATTTTTGAAGATGACAGGAAACTAGGCATGGTCAATGGATCCCTAAGAAACTCCTTATCTACTAAGCAAAGTGATCCTGAGAGAGGAGGAATAAAAAGATCTGAGACAATCTGGAAGGAATAGCTGGAAAAAAGTTGCAGGGTGCCAATGGAAGAAACAGAACAAAGACATGGGTGGGGCAAGGAAGGGAATATGAAAACCTCAATAGAGCTCAGAGAAGAATTTACATATTCCTATCCTGCAGCTTGTTTTAAAAGAGTGGTTACTAATTGTGGGATTCACAGAATTATATTTTAACATGCCATAGGTACTTTGGACTTCATGGCTCTCCTTCTGCCTCGCAGCATAGAGGCTAAGCAATGTTTGGTAACCTGAAGGGTTGAATTCAGATCATTTTGCTCTAAAGGTAAAATTTTCTAGTAACTGAAACTAAAGTTATGTGCAGTTAATTCCTTCCAATAGTGGGCACATAGAAGCCAGCCAGTTCTTACCAATCAGCTCTACTTTCTGTAGACTTTCCGTTGGAATTATACAGAAACAGAAAACACAGTTTCGGGAGGAGGGCTGCAGGGGAATTAAATTTCCATTGAAAAAGATTCTGTTTTTCCCAAGAAGTTTTGGTTTCAGGAGGTCTTGATCAATACTGGAACATGTTTGCTGAACTGACCCAAACAGTTCTTTCAAGTCAGTACAACTTTAAGCTGCATTTCCCTATAGTTACCTCATGAAAGCTCAAGTTCCCATTCTCTCCTATGGGCTGGACTTATTGGAAGACTGCATTTCCCATAATGCAATATACTCCTTCACCAGAACCAGCTGTATAGTGCATCATGGATGTTGCATGACTGTGGGTACTTCTCGGGTACTATATTCTGGCCTCAGAGTCTGTTTTATAAAGAAGAATTATAGTCCTCAACTAAAACGCCCATGAGGCAAACTGCCATAAAATGGAAATGCAGTTTGGTGTTCAGCTGAGGCAAAATGAGTTGTTGTTGGGTTTTTTTTAAAAGGATGCATTTCAATGTTGGGAATTTCAGTGTGTCGTGATTTGAAAAGCTGAAACAAAACAGTATATCTAAATCAAAATTTTGGGCAATATTTTGTTCCTAAGGAATAGGGGAATGATCCATATTTAAACTTCTCATCCTGATTCAGGCTAAAAACAAAACGTTAAAGCATAGGAATTTTCACTCAGATCTAATGACTAGCCTCTCTTTCAACCATAGAAAAAATGACGGCCCCAGCCATGGATACACCCCCTTTACTATTATAACTGTCTTTTCTGATTATTTATCTACCTGTCTACTCTCAAAAAGAACTATACAAATTGCAGTCATATTTAGGGTTGACCTGTAACCAAGATGCTGACAGTCTTGACTTTCGTACCTGCAGGAATTTTGTGCATCCAGTAGAAGCACCAAGACAGATTTTTTTCAGTGCAATTCTTTAGGATTTCAAGGACCTTCGCTTGCTTATTGGATTTTCCCATGATAACCCTTTTTGAGGAAAATAGCCATTCAGAGTCTTTTCCCATAGCTACCAACTTATGTTCAGACAAAAAGCTTTTTTTCTTAAAACTGAACCTGAAAATGGGGGATCAACCTATACTCCGGGTGGATTAATTATGGGCACATTAAGCTAGGATTACAACAGAACCCTGAGGTTTCACTTGAGAACAGGTTTCCATTGTGCTCGGTACTGACACAGAAAATCTGTCACAAAGACTTTGCAATCTAAAGGGATGAGATGGACAAAAGGGGCAAAAAAGTCATTACCATTACCCTCATTTCAGAGGCACAAAGCAGTTACACAACTTACCTAAAATGGCACAGGAAATTTGTGGCAATACCAGAAACGTCATTTCAAACTTGTATCCATTTGTTTCTGTTTCAGAAGCTAAGAAATGATATTTTGTTTACAAACTAGAGCACTAGAAGTTAATACAGAATTCAAGAGCCTGACCTTACTAAACCATAAATACACTAGGGACTTAACCTTACCTGGTGTAAAATGTTATAGCATTTTCATGTGGAGGGCACTTCCATGTATGCCATTATTCATTCTCCAAATTCAAATGAAAAGGTCTGCAGTTTCCACCTCCCCCCCAAAAAAACACACACACATACTTTGACTTAACTCTGTTGAAAACAATGCAAGCTACAAAATTCATACACATTCACGACAGGCATGTTCACAGAAGAGATGCCAAGAAGTTTATAAAAGGCCAGTGAATTTACTGATAATACAAACAAAATCACTCAACAAGGAAAGGGATAAACTACATCAGGTACTTCATATTTTCTTCAACTACTATTTTAGTCAAGTGCAGCTCTGTATATTCTGCAAGGCAAGACTGACTTGTGGCATTAAAACAGTATACTTTCTGTAAACAAGATTGTCAGGACTTTTATTTCTCTATAAAGAGCTTACTACAACTATTAAGGGCAGGATTTACATGGAAGGAATTCTGCTTGCTTTTGGGTCAGCTGCCACAAAAGATAAAGCCAGCAGTTCCCTTTTACCTAAGCATAATAAAGTTATAAAAACAGTACTGCCATCTAACACGTTCTGATAAAAATAAAAATCAGTTTTACAAGAAATTTTCAGAATGCAAGTTCTCACTACACAACGAATAATACACCTAGCTCCTCACTGACTTTCTGACAGTAAAAGCACTTTTTTTGGCTCTTAGGAAAACAACTTTATCAGGATTGTAAAAGAAGTTATGTGAGCTTCAACATATCTGATTAATAGAGGGACAGATATGAATGATAAATAGCTACTTACTTCTGATAATTTGTTACAGATAACAATATAAACAGTGCTCCATCAAACAGTATATCCTGTTGATGAAGGGTAAAGTAGGAGAATGAAAAGACATCCGATAGGAAAACACCATTCAAAGACATTATAAAAGTACAGGATGTATTAAACATGCCAATACAAGTAAAGTTGCATTATTCCAGGTCACTGAAACATAAAATCCAAGTTAATCATAAAGAGCAAACAAGGAACATTACCGAAATGCATACCTCATTTTAAACATACTTCTGAATGCTCCAAAATCACAAGGAGGAAAAGTACAATGACCTTACAGTACAAAACAAGGATTTGTATCCACAAAAAAAGAGCTTTCTACTTACCCTACAGTATGTACCATGATCTCTTATGCCACCTTAATTCCAATAAATCCAGTTGTTTTATATTTAAAGAAATACTAAAGTCCTTAAACGGACAAGGGAAAGCTAACAAAACAGAACTTTAGAAGAAGCAAGGCAGAGAAAGATGAATTTAAACCCTGGCTCAAGATGCTATGTATTCTGCATCTATCTTTAACTTGTAAATGATTTGGTTTCACATTCCACTAAAGTCCCGCTGGCAGATGCCTTTGCAAAGCTTACCAATCACAGGCACTCCCTTTCTTTTTTTTTTCCTTCCGTCCTCTCTCTCTCTTTCTCTCCCACCTCCACCCTAATCTGCCATTCCACTCCACCCCCACCTTTTCTCTTCCTCTCTCATCTATCTTTTACCTGTCTGTACAAGATGAAAGGAGATGCTTTCATTGATCATTAGTTCAGACAAATGGGAAAGCAAAAACTTCTCACTGCCTCCCCTCTACATAAACAGGCTGTTTTGCAGTCAGGAATTAACTGACTTCTAAACTTGGCTGCCCAGGGAAGGAATGTTCTGAGTGACATTCCTGAGAGCTTGAAGCAACAGAGCTCAGGCTCTATTCTGCTCCTTGAAACATGGGGATGTTGCAGGTCTGCACCACAGATTATGCACAGCTTTTTCCAGAGGATTTATTTAAAAAAAAGCCAAACAATCTTCTCCTTCCTCCCACAGGGTTACAAGAAATTTTAGTCAGAGCAATCAAATTGGTACTCTCATCACATTTTCCTCTGAACTTGGTGTTTTACATTGAAGGAAACTAATTCAGCTGGTATAAATAGGCTAAAAAAAAATCCATTCCTTCCTTCGAACCCATTTTCAAACATGTTGCTGCAGCACATCAAAAGAAAAAAATGACAAGCTGGCAATGGCTGCTTATGTTCAAGAGAGAGGTAGCTGAAATGACTGCCTGTGCCAAATCTAATATTGGTCAAAGGCAAAGCCTGAGAGTTTGAATCCTAGAATCACTGATTAAATCACAATGTGAAATAAGATCACAAGAAAGCATTATCTATAGATGGTTTCTAATGCAGCCAGCTGGAGAGGGAGAGAAGGAGGGAGGCAAGGAGGAGCATCTCAGCCTCTGTGGTATTTCACTAGCTGTCATATAAGCTTCACTAGGGAATCATATTTGGAAGCTTACAGCCGGTTTGCCTGTGGAAAGAGATCTTTATCAAGGAAAAGCGTGCAAAAATAAAGATCTTCTAACCAGATAGCAAACACAAGGCATCTAAGACATTCTTATCTGCCTGCAGTTATCACATTAAAGCGTATCTGTTCAGAAACCAGGTCCTAATAATATATACAAAATAGACTACTCATTAATAGCAGTATTCAAGGTGACTGAAAGAGGGGGTGAGGGGGAAGGGAATCCTTCCACGCAACCCAGGAAGTAAATATTCATACCAGTGCCTTCGGTAATCATGAGTGGTAACGCAAACCTCTGGTCCTTAATATCACACATTTGAAGTTGCATGGTTTTAATTTGTAAACAGATGCAGTTAGCTATTGGTTGCAAACAAGGCTTTCTTATCTCAAACATCGCAGTAAGTGAGAATGGAACAAACCACAGGATTATATATAAAGCATATGAATTATTGAATGCTTTCAGCTGAAGCCTGGAAAATATCAATTTACAATCACACCAGTTTATACAGAATGATAACATGGCAAATATCTGTATTTTACAGTCTCAGGCCTTTGTCTTAACTGTTGTTAACAACAGTTCTTAACCATGTTTGCAGCTAAACAAGTGTTGAACACAGGTCACCTGCAAGCATAGAGAATAACAAACTATTGAACAAATGTTCAGTTGTAATCATGATAACTGACAGCTGTCAGCAATGGGAATTTTGATTACACAGATGAGGTCTTAAACCTTTCAAGCACCTGTGCTGAAAAACTGGCCTGAATAGGGACAGAAGTTACACATAAACCGGTTTAAGTGATCAGAAACTGATTTAAAACTGTAACAGATCAGAAGTTCAGTGCACTTAAACAACTTACAAAATGGACAAAACCAGTTTCAGATAAACCTGACTGGCTCAGACTTAACTGATTTAAGTCAAACCAGTTTATGGAACTTCTGTCCCAGACCTCTTCACTGTTCAAGTCAACTCCGTTCCCCAGTATCCCAGGATGCTTTGCAGCTCTGAGCTGGGCTGGCTGCTCCAGAGAGCAGGGTTGGCCCCATCCGTCTGCGCCCTAGCCAGAGCACTATCACTGCTCCAGCTGGCTGAGAAGTGGGTGGGGTGGGAAATTCAGCTCCAGACAGCAGCCAGGCCTACCTGCTGGGGTGGAGCAGCCCCTGCCAGGATTTCCCCCTCTTGCGACTGGAGCGGAGAAAGGGGTGACCAGACCCTGAGGCCAGGCAGGCAGACAGACAGACAGACAGACAGAGGCAGAGAAGGAGAGGGGGCTTTAAGCACCCTGTCCTCCCACCCGGGACTCCAGCCAGGATCTGCCTGGCAGGTGCGCAGCAGTCTCTGCTCCCCACCTGAGCAGAGGGGGTGGGGGCATAGCCAGATGCCAGCCAGGTTGGCAGGCTGAGGCAGGGGGGTGGGGGGTTAAACCCCACTCCCTTCCATTCCCCTGCAAGGGAGCCACAGCCAGGGACTGCCTGGCAGGTGTGAAGCAGCCCCTGCCTAGCTTTTCCCCTGCTCAAGCAGAAGGCTGGGGATGTGGCCAGATGCCAGCCAAAGTATCTGGCCAAGCCCCTGGCCCCTCCACTGAAGCAGGGAAAAAGCCAGGCAAGGGCTGCTTCGCCCCTACCAGACAGTCCCCAGCTAGGGGTCCCTTGTGGGGAGGGAAGCTGGAGTTTAAACCCCCCTCTCCACCCTCTGCCTCAGCCTGATGGCCTGGTCAGCATCTGGCCATGTCCCCGCCCCCTCCGCTCAAGCAGGAAGCAGGGGAAAAGCCAGGCAGGGGCTGCTTTGCCTCTGTCAAGCAGATCCCAACTGAGTTCCCATGCAGGCTAGGGGGATGGAGGTTTAAACCTCCTTCCCTGGTTCTGGACCCTATCCAGGATTTACCCCTAGGCTAAGGGGGCGGTGGGTAGCCCCAACATGCTTCTGCCCTACCCCAGCTTGAGTGGGGCAGAGGGCAGCCCTTGCCAGGGTTTTCTCCCTTACTCAAACACAGGACAGGGGGCATGGCCACATCCCAGCCCAGGACTGGGACAAAAGATATAGCCAGAAGTTCCCTTTTACCTAAGCATAATAAAGTTATAAAAACAGTACTGCCAACAGGGATGGGACGCTGAGGCAGGGGGTTTAAGTCCCGCTCCTCCCCACCTGAGAATGCCAGCCCTGGGCCCGGGTGTAGCCATGCCCTCCTTCTCCACAAGAGTAAATAGCAAGGGGTGGGCAAAAACCTGGCAGGCACCATCTCCCCCCCAGGCAAACCCTGGCTGGGGCCAGAGAGGGGGTTTAAACCCCTCCATCCCCACCTTAGCCTGCAAGCCCCCAGCTTGGGCGTGGTCACAACTCTGGCTACTTGATCAAGCCAGGGGCAGGAACCTGGCAGCGGCTGCCCCTGAGGCAAACGCAAACTGTGGTCATGTGCAGCCAAGGAGGACCTCCCCACCTTAGCCTACAAGCCCCTTGTTGGGGAGTAGCTACACACCTCCTGCTCAAGGGGGAGGCAAAACCCTGGCAGGGGCTGCCCCCCGACCCCAGACAGATCAGTGGTAGGGTCCCATGTGGGCCAGAGAGGGGGGTTTAAAGCCCCCCTTCCCCTGGCCTAAGCATGCTGGCCCCAGGCTGGGTCCTGGCCATGCCCCCTCTGCTCCAGCAGGGAGGGGAAGAAAGTCTTGGAGGACTTCTCTCCTTCCTTCCCTTTGGCAGTCAGGGAGGTGTGCTCTAGCACCCCCCCAACTTTTGGCCAGAGCTACTGCGGGCATGTGACTGCATTTCCAGAATTAAACATGTAAGTGTGTACACTTGCTTTTCGGTTCAATCTATGCAGCTTAGACTAACCTGCAAAGATTAAATCAATTCAGCCTCTGGCTTTTTGACTATCTGTACTTAACCCAGAAGTTACGTCCTACCTGAGAAAGGAAACACTGCAAGTTTTGCAAGTGCATTGCTACTGGAGAGTGCTCGCTGAATATCCCTCAATGACAAAATGTAGGCAACTACTGTTTTAGCCTGTCTATTTCTGCCCTCCACATTAATAAACATATAAACACTTCATTTGAAACAGAATTTTGTTCACTTAACTTTTGTCAGCAGCAGACATCGGTCTCAGGAGACCTTGAAGATTGCACCTTTGGTGGGATACTAAGTACCACCACAGCTTCTAGAGTGGCTGAGAATTTCAATGTGTGACAAGCAGACCCTTTGGCAAGTTGCACACAGAAACTTGGTTGAGATTGCACGGTATGCTGAGTACTGTCTTGTCTTGCCTGCCTCTGATGCCTCTTCTCTATCGCATCATCATTGTCCCTCTCCTTGAAGCAACGCAGGCCCTGCTTCCCAGGGGCTTTCCACTTGCAGCAGGCAAATTAGTCAACTACCAACTAAAAGAATATTCACAAGCTGTCAAATAAACAAAAGTTACCCAAAACCCTAAAATGGTCTATATGTGCTTTTAGCAAGAGGCATTTCCTCTGACTAGGCCTAAAGGGCAGCAATATAACAATTAAAAGTGTGTGCATTAGTAGGAAAGAAACGCACTTGTTTTGAATCCCTAAACTTTTCTCCTTTTAGCAAATGCTGTCTTCCACATGTTCATCTCACACACAGCCTTAAAAACATGCCATGCAGTTCTGGCCTGCTTTGATATCATTTAAATTCTCTTTGCCTCATTTTCCCCAAATAATGAATTCTGACTGTGATGAATTGGGAATCTGTGTGCCACTTATGAATTCTGATTGATTTTATGAAATATCTGTATCACTGAAAAACACAGCATATAGTATCCCTTATCTTTAGTCAGGGCTATATCACATTATCTCCTACACAAGGGACAATGGAGGGTTGTTACATCTTGATGGTCCCCAGTCAAACGTGAGCATCTTAGGACAGTAGAACAGACACATTATAGATGAAACCAGCCTTCTCCAACTTTTCTGCATGGGGATGGAGTACTAAGAGTGGAAAAATCCTCAGGCAAGAGAACAAAGAAGTCAAGCATTAGCACTGGATTTTTAAAAACCACAGAGCCTGAAAAATTCTGAGACTTGCCGAAACTTGGCAGATGAGAAGAACAGAGATTCTCCTTAGCCCCAAGCCCAACCAAGGAAAAAGAAGGTTCTCTGAAGAAGACAGACAGATACG